CCCTGGCCCTAGCAATGGCTAAAATTAAAAAGGTGGTAACAGGTGCTGGTGAGGATACAGATAAATTGGAATCCTCATATATTCCTGGTGGGAAAGTAAAATGTTGTAGCTACTTTGAAAAGCAGTCTGGTAGTTCCTCAAAATGCTCAATGTGGCGTTATCATAGGAACAAACAACTCCACGCCTAGCTACAATCCCCAAAAAAGTATAAACATACACCCACACGAAAACCTGTGCACAAATGTTCATGTTAGTTAGCGTTATTCACAATAATCCAAAAACTGAAGCAACCTATATGTTTATTAATTGATGAATAAGCTGTGGTACATCCATATAATGGAATGCCATTTGATAATATAAAGGAATAAGGTATTATTGCATGATAAAACATGGTTAAACCTTGAAAATATTGTGAATGAATCCAATCACAGAGGCCCTTGCACAATCAATCCAAAATGTTCAAAACAGCCTATATAAAAAGCAGACTAGTGGCTGCCAAGGGGCCCAAGGGAATGGTGCTAATTGGTATGGGGTTGCTTTTGTTAGTGATGAAAATGTTTTAAAATTTGTTGTGGTTAGAGTTATACAACTGTGAATACACTAAAAAGCCATTATATATTTCAAATGGTTGAACTGTATGTTCTATGAATTGTATCTCAAGAAAGCTATTAAAAACCTTATAAAAATTTATGCATAAAGAACAAACATTAAAAAAAACCCGATAAACTGGACATCATCAAACTGAAAATGTTTTGCTCCTCAAAAGACATCATTTATACATATTGAGGATATACTCCTAAATGAAATAAATAAATCACACATGTATAAATACCGAATAGTTTCTCCAGTGTGAATAAACTATAATAGTACATAAGGTCCTAATGATATAATGGACAATGTGAAATAGGAAGGGGCTAAAGGTGTAGGGAAAGTGGGAAGGATAGGGGAAAGCTAATAAGGGAAAAGAAAAAAATATGAGAAAATGAAAAAATGGAAATAAAGCATTTGTAAATGGGGAGGGGAGGAGGGGTGAAGGGAGGGCAGGGACAACGGGAAAAAATGAGAACCAAGACCTGTCATGTAAAGGTACAAGATCCCAACAATGAATGTAATTGTACTGTATACCTAAAATGTACCAATAAACTCAATGAGGGGGAAAAAAAAAAGACATCATTTAGAGGGGCCAGGGATTTAGCTTAGCGGCACTGCACCTGCCCTGCAAGTGCAAGGTCCTGAGTTTGATCCCAGGTACAAAAAAAAAAAAAAAAAAAAAAAAAAAGAGACATAATTTAGAAAAGAAAAAGCAAGATATAGACTGGGAGAAAATATTTGTAAATAGAAGGACTTCTATCCAGAATATATAAAGAATCAACAGGAAGAAGATAAGTGATCCAATTAGGTTTTTCTAAAGTATCTGTAAGGAAACAGAATAGGAAGCAGTGAATCTGGGAAGGCTGTGATAAGCCGATCCTGAAGCTACCACAGATAACTGACCTGGACATGGGCAGAATGGAAGATGACAGGAGAATATCAGTAGATGTTAAAATGACCAGAATAGCTATTATGACTAAATGGGTTGTGAAGACTTTTGCAATGTTATGTTGGAGATTATTAATATAAAATGGCAGTTGAAAAGGTGAAGAAATCTGGGCCCGATGGCGCAAGCTTATAATCCCTGTATTCAAGAGCTAGCATGTGGTCTATTTTGGAGAATGACCCGTGTACAGCCAAAAAGAATGTATATTCTGATTTTGTGGGGTGGAACACTCTGTAGACATCTATTAAGTCCATTTGTTCAATGATATTGTGTAATAGGAAGAAAAGGTCTAAAAGAGTAGAAGTGGGAGAGATAGAGGAAAGGTTAAAAAGGGAAAAGAAAAAATATGTGAAAACGAAAAATACGGAAACAATGTCTTTGTAAACAGGGATGGGTGGAGGGGGTGAAGGGAGGGCTGGGGAATGGGGAAAAATAAGAACCAAGATAAGTCATATAAGGGTACAAGTTCCCGGTGATGAATGTAACTGTATTGTATACCTAAAATGTACCAATAAACTTAATAAAGATTAAAAAAAAAAAAAAAAAGAGGCTGAGTCAGGAGGATTGCTCCAAGTTCCTGGGCTACACAATGAGATCAAGGCCAGCCTGAACTATATAGTGAGACCCTGTCTAAAAAATTTTTTTTAAATTTAAAAGGTGAGGAAAAGGGTAAGAGGTCTGGGTTGTCCGTGAGTCACATGTCCCTGATGCGTGAACCCCTGGAGCACTTCATGTGCACTGGACATTCTGCTCTGTGCAACAACAGGAATCCAAGAGCCAGACTACCAAAGACAGTGCAGATAACAGATTCTACACACATGCAGGAAACTCAGGCAATCCTACTGCTCTATCCCCTATGCTCCGATTCTTTGAGAAGACCCAGAAAACAAGTGGAAAACATTTTAGTCATGAATGCAAAATTCTGTCTACTAATAGAGTTTCTTTTCTTGAAAAAGGGGAAAAAAAGGTATGGAGAAAATAATCAGAAACTAATGTCACACTAATGTTCACAGTTGATGTTGAGATGATAAATGATATGAATCAAAGAATGCTGCAGCTGGGAGTCTAGCTCACTAGTTAGGGCCCTTGCCTGGTAGGTGTAAAGCCTTGGATTCAATTCCCAGGACATACTGAAATAAAGATACTTAATTCTTTACTGATCAACACAGCCTAGCTAAAATAACACTGATTTATGAATTTATTTCCCTACAGAAGATAGAGAAGCTGGGCCAACAGCAGTAAGATAACATCTTTAGGGCTGGGGATTAAGCTCAGTGGAAACTCGCCTGCCTCACAAGCACAAGGTCCTGAGTTTGATCTCTGGTAAAACACACACACACACACACACACACACACA